ATCTCCGAGACGTCTCGAGGCGCTTCACGGATCACGCTGTGAAGTGGATTGACTGTATTTTTGCGGCGCTATGTCCGAACGCAAGGATTACGTTAATTTGAAAACTCTAATCGAGCTCTTATATAAGTCACTGAGCGGCTAAATTAGAACCATAAATTGGATTGATGTTTGTAGTTTCTAAGGTAATTTTATTAGGTGCAAGTTTCCACTGCACCACTAGCGTTTTTAGCTCATTTAAGTGGAGAGAGGGGAAGGAGAAAACTATTGGATGGAGTGTGTGAGACCGTATGGCTGGTTTATTTGCACAGAGCAGCTGGAGTCTGCTGTTAAGGCTGGTGTTTTATTGCTCGCGGGTCCTCTCAATGTGCTTCAGGCTTCCACAAGCTCCAGTCTATGCCTTTACGAGCTCCTGGAACAAAGCTGCTGTCATCAGAATGACAAGACACGCGTGTGAGCGTGTCGTGTAGTTTGGGGAGTTTGATCCCGGTTTCAGGAATAATTAGTGCAGGCAAGTTCAGCCCACATGTGGAGTGTGTTGTTTCTGTGTTTAAGGCTAGGTTTAATCGAGCGAGCGTTGATGCGAATTCACAATCGCTCGATGGTCTGTATGTAGTGAGACTGGAAAGGATGTCCTTTACTCTCTTCGTGTGAGGGGCACTCAACCAGTACAATAGAGAGGGAGTGAGATAGTCCACTAGTCAGGCCCGGTCCCATTGTGGGTGTAATGTGAGGGGCTGGTTTTCATTGTGAATTTCACAATGTGTGTGTGTGTGTACGTGTTTCTTTCTCTCTCTCTCTCTCCGACTCTCACTTTCTCCCGCTTTCTCTCTACTGAGTTACACTGTGGAGTCCTGTAGTGGTTAGAGCACTCGTCCCGCAAGCGAGAGGATCCGGGTTCGATTCCCGGACAGGGTGAAACTTACAGCAATTTTCCTTACTCCGCACGCCTCTGTTTACCTCGGCAGTAAGTAGGAACCCTGCTGTTAGTCGATTGGCGGAAACATTAGGGGTGTTAATCCCTTTTTAAAAAAATTGGGTCACGCAATCCGCGACTGTTTGTGGGGACGCTGCTGTGCGCAAGTGGCCGCCGCGTTTCGCCCACAAAATATACAGTCAATTCGCTTTACAGTATATCCTGTGAAGCGCTTTGAGACGTCTCGAAGACGTGTTATCAATTGCAAGGATTATTATTTTTAATTAGTGGTAACTCTCTCGCCTCTCGAGTCAGAATGTTTGAGCGTAACATTGGGTCACTGAGCGCACAGTCTAGGCTGAGGCGCCAACGAACTGCATTCTCAGAGGTGCTACCTTTCAGGTGAGATTTATAACTACCTGCTGTTCAGGTGGGCTTTACAGATCCCCTGGCACTCCTTACATGCCAGCCAACAATTCCCCACATAAAACAATCGGTCATTCACTACATGGCTGTTTGAGGTATCGCTTTGCTCAAACTGGCTTCTGCGTTGGCCTCCGATTACATTTTAATGGAGACACTCCGTGAGTGTAACACATCCCGACATGAAAAATACACTGCAAATTTAAACGTTACTATTTATTATCTTGCTCGCTTGCCTCGGTATGTGAGATACCAGGATGCTGGGGATTTGGATAAGAAACTACAATTACAGTTGCACACAGCGCGGATTCACATCGCGAGGCCCTAGATGCTGGAAAGTCAAGGGTTTGCACCCGAGCTGGGAGCTGGGATCAGGAAGGGTGGAGGGCAGTGAGGGTGACCGGAGGTGAGGTCGAAGATGAAGGGCTTGAAGGAGGCAAGGGAGGTGGGGGGGGAGTGACGCGAATGGACTTGGGATGTAGGACGCCTCAAAGCTCTTCAACGTGGTGTAGAGATTGTGCTCCGGGGGGAAAGTGAATCGCCTGAGTTTCCGATCTGCGAGGCGGGAGGTCTGAGAGCTGCCGCCAACATCAGCCAAACGTTTAGCCAGACTCTGGATGAGGATAGATTGGGCAGAATTCCATCTGTGATATCCTCACCATCGCAGTCACATCACGTGTCACATTCTCCACCCCTCTGATTGCTAACAGGATCCATAGGAACGCCTCTTTGATTCCTTGTGAGATGGATGTCCTTTTGATCAGTGGGACACGTACCAGCGATAAGATAAAATTATCTCACAAATAAAACCCGTTAAGGATGTTAGGGAAAGGAAATCTATTAAGGATTGAAATATTTTTCTCTCCCCCCCCCCTACCCCCACCCTCACCACCACCCAACTCTTCTCCCTCCCCCTGCCTTTGTTTTCCAGGTAATGATTCCTCCCCCCAAAAAATAAATGAATAATTTTTAATCACTCAATCCACGACTGTTTGATAAGGCACGACATCAATTGCATGGATTATTGTAAAAGTGGTGCAGACACTTAGCTGGGTGTCTGGAGACCTGCAGAACATCGCTCTGCTTAAACCTGTCCAACCGGACTGAGCGTTTACATGTACATACGCCATCTAGACACAAAAATATTCCTGTGCCTAGAAGAGCATGTGCACCTCTCTCTCTCTCTCTCTCTCTCTCCCTGTTTGCCCAGTTCCAGGGAGCATTAGGGCGCAGGTTGGCGAGAGTCGAGGTTTGGGGGATTTGTGTTACTGCCGGAGGTTTATTCAGCGGCTAAAACCGCAGCGATATTTATAATAGCAATCCTCGCGTTCGATATCGCTCGTTTCGTATCGCGCGACGCCTCTGTGCCTTTCCCAGGGGTTATGGTGAAGCAGAGCGACTATAATTTAAAGGCAAACGTGGCAGCCAACTTGCGCACACAGAAGAGTTAGTTTTATTTGAGGGATTGTTGGCCAAGACACCGAGAGAGAGAGAGAGAGAGAGAGAAAGACTCCTCTTTTTGAATAATGCCATGGGATCTCAATGATGTATTGGATGGCACAAACATGCTGGGCCACACATCTTGAAAGTAATTACCAGCTGTGAATGAAAGCCTGATTCTTGTGGTTTTATCACTGACTGCTCAGCTCCCATTACGAGATTACGAGCGCAAATCCTGACGAGTGGGGGTGGGGGGGGGGGTTCGAACTCATAACTTCCTGAGGCCCGTGAGCGCTACTAACTGAGCCAAGCTGATCCACATAAATCTATTGCAATATATTATTCCTGATGTAAGTGTGTGAGTCTTACGCGGTGCTGAATTAGCTCTGTAACGCTCTCCGAGCTGCTGCCACTCACAAATCGTGGATACAATCCCGAGTCGAGTACAAGACGTAAAAACACCAACATCTACACAGCGCCCTTCACCCGGGGCCAGGGTCTCGGAGCCCGACTCCGCGGCCGGGTGCCGGGAGGAGGTGACCGTAAGCGCGATCGAAGAGGAAGGCCTTCGATTGAGAGGCAGAGGGGGTGAGGGAGAGCTGCAAAGCTTCTGGGGGGGCAGTGGCTGAAAGCGTGGCCGCCGATGGTGGAGCGGAGGGGACACGGGGCAAGCAAGGGGGCTGAGCGGAGGCAGCGGGTGGAGGTAATAAGCAGGTCAGAAAGGCAAGGAGGTGCCGGGACGTGAAGGTGTTTGTAGAAGCACCGATGTCTACAACTACGTCAAAGTCCATTGGATGCGTGTCAGTGTTTGCTTCTCTATCTACTTTAATCCCAATTCCTGCTCTTTCCCCCGACCATTAAATATTCCTCCTGTTTATGCGCTTATCAATTCCGTTTCAAATACCCTCAATTTGCTGTTCCACCTCGGGCCATCGCGGGCACTTTATTTTGCATTCTAATAGTTGTTCTGGGAGAAAAAAAATTATCTTTAATGTTCCTCGTTACAATCTTAAATAAGATATAGTCTGAGCAACATCTTGACGAGGGTGATTGATGAGCTGCGATATACAGCATCTTGCGAGTGTATTCGCCTCGTCCAGCCCGTCTCTTCTCCGTGTTTGGCCGGTGGGTATTTGCTGGGGTTGAATTTGCGCCGTCAAATTACTGCCTAAGAAATCAACAGAAAAATTCTCTTTAAATCTTCTGTGGAAAAAGTTGCCGATTTTGGAATATGTCTACAGTATATATATATCTATATGTATATATCAGTCGCTCAATCTATCTCAAATGTAAGGATTATTATTAAAATGAAGGTGCGATGGGTCAAATATTGCCCACATGTTCCTCTGTCCCTAAGTGTTACCAAAAGGCTAATCTCCTAAAGGAAGATCTGCAATGTAATATCCGTCCAAGTGGAGAGAGAGAGAGAGAGAGAGCAATTGTCGATTTTAAAAAAAACCCCACAAGAATCTTACTTTAATTCCCATTCCCAGCCGGCAGCCACTTTCCGGATGTGAATTTCAAAGCTTTCCACATCGCGTTACCTATTCTTTAGAACAGTTGCTGCGTTTCCTCACTGACAACGGCTATAATGTACTTGAGAGTCGTAATATAAATCATTGCGAGAGGCTTTCCTCTGGCCCCTCTGCCCAGTACTGTGTCTTGTAGTGCTTTGTAACGCGCTGGTTGTCGACCAGAAGACACGGCTACCGTGTGACAGTCAACAACCCTCTCTCTGCTTTCATTAACACCAACTGATTTTCAACCGGCTCATTTGGAACATTATTCAAGCATTTCAGGCCGTGAGGAGTTTAGTCAAGTCTGTTAGGATTTTATATATAATACAGTATGGATTCCTGGGGGCTCAGTGGTTTGAGCGCTCGCCTCACAAGCGAGAGGACCCGGGTTCGATCCCCAGGTCGAGGCAAAACCTTAGGCAAGTTTCCTTACTCCACACACACACACACGCTGCTGTACGCCCAGCAGCAAGTAGGAACCCGTTTGTTAGTCGATTAGCGGATCCGGGGAGTAACTATCCCTTCCAAATAAAAATTATAAGAATAATTTAGTCACTCAATCAACGACAGTTTGCGGGACACCTCTGCTTTACAGCGCATTGAACGATACGGAGCTGTTATCAAATGCAAGGATTATTATCCTTATTGTTTGCGGGTATTTTTTTGCGCAGACCCTCACTGCTTTGCCCTGCTTTTCTCTCTTTCAGTGTCTCAGGGCAACATCAGCTTGAAGAAGCAGCGGAGTCGGAGTATTCTGAACTCGTTCCTGTGTTGCTTTCGCGACTACAATGTGGAAGCAGTCCCCACCAACAACAACACCAACGCCCACCCTCCAGTGGAAGAGAATGGGTCCATCGCCAAGGTGCGTGTGGCTGGGCGGGAACGGTTTCGGAGTGGGCGCGTCCTCCCGACGTGAAAACACGCGTCATTTTTGGGACCCGTGGTTAGATTGGATTCTACCCCAATTTTTGGGGAAGTTGGAGATGGATAGACTTTGATTGATTGATCGATCGATCGATTGATTGATGCTTTACTCCCTCCACAAACTATTTCTATGTCACAATGCTGCACTCCACTTGTTAGAGGTTTAAAAGCGACTAATATTTCTGTCCCGAGTTCAATTGGACCTTTGGCTGTTGGCAATAGCTTTGGCAGCAAAGTTAAGTGCATTTCGCAACGGCTGTCTATCACTCCTGCGAGATTTATTGGCCGCATGTCATTTTCTTACAAAGAACTCTTTAAATATTTCATATTTCGCAAACCGTAAGGCCAGTGAATAAATATTAACAAATGTTACAAATTTGTATTTTATTTTACCAGTTTTTCTGTGGCCTTTTCCAGCTGCTAAAACATCCAAAACATGTCCCTTTTGTCAATAATCTGTCACTGAACAAAATGCTGCTGAACTTTTTGTTTTCGCTTCCGTTGCCCTCGTGGAGCCCTGTAGCATATTGGTTAGAGCGCTCGCCTCGTAAGCCACGGGTCCTGGGTTTGATTCCCGGCCAGGGCGAAACCTTAGGCAAGGTTCCTTACTCCACGCACAGTTTTACGACCGGTTGTTAGTCGATCGGAGGATCGCTTTTCGGGGTTAATAATCCTTTCAATAATAATTTGGTCACTCAATCCACGACGGTTTGTGGGGACGCTGCTGCGCGTAATTGGCCGCCGCGTTTCGCCCACAAAACACACAATCAATTCACTTTACAGTGTATCCAGTGAAGGGCTTTGAGACGTCTCGGAGTCGTGATAAGGCGCTGTATCAAATGCCAGGATTATTATTACAAATACACAGTCACAACATTTTACAGAAAATTCTGTGACGTGTTTTGAAATGCGCTACAACAAATGCAAATATTCTTGTACAGTGTGTAACTGTAGTTGGGTTTAAGTAAAGTCAGGGTTTTAGTATTGTTTTGAGCGCTTTGTATACATAGGTGAACTGAAACTTGGATTGGAAGTAAGTCTTACCTTTACAGTACATCCCTGAGCGGACTAAGGGCCTTAAAACAGAAATAGCTAAGTGATTTATTCCGCCTTACTTTCCTCATTGAAGATACCCTCAACGCAAAGCCATTGTTTGCGAAATAACTTCATTGTTCTTGAAATGGATATTATCCATTTATTAGTATTCCCTGTACCCAGCCAAGCGAATAATGATTACGCTTCATTTTTATTCAGTGTATTTATTGTTGAATTTTATTACCAACCCCCGTAATTTATATGAATGTTCGCAGAAGTATTCATCAGTAATGCAAGGATTTATTACAACCACCGTGTTTTCTTCCCGCCTGGAGCCTCTCACTGTCTCTCTCGCGCGCTCGCTCGATAGCGAGGGAGGGAGGGAGGGAGAGTGAAGAAGTGGAATAAATCTTCCAGGGCGATGTTTACTATAAACAATGTTTCACAAATTTAAAGCTGTACCTGAAACTACTGAAAATCTTCCTCCTCGTGAGATTTACCAAAATGTCAAATGCCAACAGATATTGCAGTGGGTGTAATATTAATAATAATAATAATAATCCCTTGTTTGCTTTTGATACAGCGCCTTATCACGTCGTTGAGACGTCTCAAAGCGCTTCACAGGATATACTGTAAAGTGTCATGACTGCGTATTTTGGGGCTGAAACTCGGCCGCCAATTGCACACAGCTGCGTCATACAGTTTGAGGATGGATGAGAAGGAGGGGGAGAGAGAGAGACTATAAATGCTCTTGGCCAGTTTGTATTCGATACAGTGCCTTATCACGTCACTGAGACGTCTGAAATGTTTCACAGAGTATACCGTAAAGTGAATTGACTGTATATTTTGTGGGCGAAACGACTTAAAATGTAAGATTGTTCAGAATTTGGTTGGGGGGGGGGCGCGGGGGGAATTCAAGATGCGCGCAGCAGTGTACCACACTGGGATTGAGTGAGCAAATTATTATTTTTTTTGACGGATTATTCCCCCCAGAAAAGCGATCCAGCAATCGAATCGACTAACAGCCGGGTTCCTACTTACTGCTAAGTAAACAGAGGCGTGTGTGTCTGTGGAGTAAGGAAACTCGCATCGGGTTTCTGCCCGCCTAGGAATCAAATCCGTGTCCGCTCGTTTTGTGAAGCAAATGCTTTAGCCGCTGCGTTACAGGACAGTTTTCATTGCTATGCCGATTATGGGGTTTGAGCCTAGCAAGGGCAAACCTACCCAGCTTACTACATAGGTATATATACAGGAAGAGCGATACAGTATTGTCCTGTTGTGTTGTCCCTATCCTGTGCTTTGTGATTACGAAGCAACAGATGGTGTAGGAGACAGTGGGTGGAACAGATGTCCGCGGACAGACCAACTGAGCGAAAGGACCACAGAATCTGGCCAGCAGCGACTGTTTCTAAGACTGCTTCCTCCCAGAGAGAGAGATTTAGGGCCTCAGCAACGCTATAGAGCAGCTTGCTTAGAGACGGTGGAGAATACTGTTTGTAACATTGAAACTCTCCCATTTGTTTGCCCACAAAACATACAGTCGTTTCACTTCGCAAGATATCCTGCGAAGCGCTCAGAGACGTCTCGGAGACGTGATAAGGCGCTACATCAAACTCAGGGATCATTAGTATTCTCTTGAGCGACCGCTGTTCGTTTTACTTTTAAGATTTTAACCGTGATTGTGTTCCCGTACCTCCCTTGACATCGGCTTTGTGTTTTTTGTGTGTTTTTTACGTTGCTTATTGATTTAGGATTTTGTCTCTTGTGTTTTCTTTTTTTGCCCGCTTTGTTACCTCCTGCAGTCTGACCAGGTGCAGGTCATTCCCAGTCCCAGTGTATGTATGATTTCATTTTCTTTTCTTAAAACCCTTTTTGCATGTTGCGATACGCTACCATTTTCCGGCTTGCAAATAGCTTTCGACCTTCGGGAGCCCTGGGGCTTGTGAGCAAAAAAAAAAGCAAAGTAACTAATCCGAGAGACGCTGTGAAAATCGCCGTATTTTATTCCACCCGATGTTATTACTCCTTGCGATTAATTTCCCATTCTTTGCTCTTTTTAAAAAAAATTGTATAGTTTTAATTCCGAGTGGTTTTGGTGAGGGTTCCTTTCTCTAGTTGCATGTTAACAATTTATCAGGCACCCCGTTGATTGGGTTCACGTGGACAGTTGATCTGATTATGGAACGGAGCGTGGGAGGGGAGGTGGTGGGGGAAGTGAATGAATCGATTTTATATTGAAATGACCTCAAAAATCTCAAGCTCCCATCACCCTAGCTGTTCGCTCATAGAAAAACATAGAAACGGGAGGAGGCCATTCAGCCCTTCGAGCCTGTTCTGCCATTCTATAAGATCACGGCTGATCTGTACCTCAAGTCCAATTACCCGCCTTTGCCCCGTATCCCTTGATCCCCTGACCTAACAAACATCTAATCCACCTCAGTCTTGACAATGTGAATGGATCCACAGCCCTTTTGGGGGAGAGAGTTCCAGATTTCCACTGGCCTTTGGGTGAAAAACGGCCCCTGATTTCACTCCTAAATGGTCTGGCTCTGATTTTCAGATGACGCCCCTTGTTCTGGATTCCCCACCAGAGGAAATAGTCTCTCTGTAGCTGCCCTATCAAAAATCCCTTGATTATTTTAAACACCTCAATCATATCACCCCTCAACCGTCCATTCTTTTCCTGTATCGGTGGCTGATGTAATAAGTGGCTCGAATAACGGCATGAAGCACCGATTTGCTGATGGCATGATTGTAGCTTTTCTTTGAAAACGCCCTCTCCCAAAAGAGAAAAAAAATAGAATTTGGTTCCAATAGGACCAACTGGTAGGATCACAAGTAAATCATCGATTTGGGTCGAAGTGAGGTAAGGTCATTTGCTTCCTGCATCCTGTGGCTGTGAAGTATTAATTTGGTGTTAAGGGGCGCTCGACTTGTCTAACCTGTTTCTGATCATATAGTTTTTTTTTCCCCTTTGCTTCTGCATTTGTGCTGATTGGCATGTCGTGTGTTTTGGACCCAGCCAAGGTCATTCGTTCCATTCACCGCCCGAACCCAGACCCGTTTCCTTTCATTCTTTTGTAGGAATGAAAGTGGAGTTCGGGTGACTGTTGAGCAGTCATGTTGTTGGTGTTATTGGATTTTTATCATGGATTTATTCCATAGAATCGTAGGAAAGTACAGCTCTATCAATGAGATGTTTAGTCCCATGGCCCTGCCTTCCCCTACATTCACCTACAAAACACAACAGTCTTTGCACTTTCCATTATATCCTGTGAAGCACTTTGAGACATCCTACCAATGTGAAAAGATTATTATTAAACGGGTCCCCTCCTAAAAGGGAATATAAATATAGATTGTGCCTTAAACATGGTTCCAGATTCTGTGGGTAGAACAAATCTCCCAACATCACCCCTTCCTCTTTTGAATTACCTTAAATCTTTGCCCTCTCATCACTGACTCACCGACCAGTGGAATTAATTTATCTTTGTTTATTATCAAAGTCCCCTCATAATAAAACTCTCCACCAGATCTCCCCTCAACCTTCTGTATTCTCGAGAAAATGGCTTTGGATACAAATCGGGTCAATTTCTGCTAGAAAATAATATCTGGGGGAGACGATATATAGTTTGGGACACGACATGTCACTTAGCTGCCAGGATGGTGGAAGGCAAACTGGATGGACCTCTGTTTTCTTTCGCCAGCAAATTTTTATGTTCTTAAGTTCTGAATGGCCTGGCGATGGGATGCCCCATTTGGAGGGAATGCTTTGAATATCCTTTCCACATTTGGTGTTGATGGCCTGGATGATGCTGATCATTTTGTAACGTACACCATCTTGTGCCATAATTTAATGTGTCCCGTATTTTTAAATTTTCTTTTTTTCGTTTTGTTTCTTCTTTGTTTATTTCCTGCAGCCTCCGACCAAATTCCTCTTACCCGAGAGAAAAGCGAACGACGCTGGAAAGAAATGTGTAGTCATCGACTTAGATGAAACCTTAGTCCATAGTTCATTTAAGGTACTGAAAATTTTATTCAATTTTATTCGCGTTTCTTCCCCGTTTTTCTGTTGGTAGAGGGTCTGGTCTACGAGAAGCGATTAGATAAACTGGACATGTTCACACTGGAGAAGAGAAGGTTGAGGGACGATATGATTACAGTCTTTAAGATTCTGAAGGGAATAGATAATGTAGACCATGACAAGCTGTTTTATCTTGTATCAGAGGACACGGCCTGGGATCGAAGGGGGGTAAATTCAGAATAAATACGGGGAAACACTGCTTCATTGAGCGAGTAGTAAATTTATGGAACAGGCTCCCCAGGGAGGCAGACAGTGAAAGCAGAAAATGTTGTTTGTTTCAAGAACAAATGAAACCGATTTCTGCTAGAAAATAATATCTGGAGGATACAGGATATAGTTTGGGACACGACATATCAAGCGACTGACAAGATGGTGGAAGGTGAACTAGATGGACTCCGGCTGCTGGGTCGGTAACCAGAGGACACGGATTTAAGATAATTGGCAAAAGACCGAGAGGGGAGACGAGAAGAATTCTTTTTTTATCCGGAGAGTTTGTTATGGTCTGGAACACACAGCCTGAAAGGATGGTGAAAGCAGATTCATAGCAGCTTTAAAAAGGGAATGGGAAAGGTACTTAAGAAAGAAAAATTTGCAGGGCTTTTGGGAAAGAGTAGGGGGAGTGAGACTAGTTGGGTAGCTCTTCCAAAGAGCTGGCACAGGCATGATGAGCCGAAGGGCCTCCTGTGCTGTAAGATTATTTGATTGTAAGAATCCTCTGGGTGCCTTTTTTTAGAAAACCTCTTAACCTCTCCCTTTGACTCTGGTAATGAACTCAAATTGGAGGATGCCTTTCCAGTTAACGACCGTCCAACCTTATTCTCCTTAACAAAACCCGACGCAGAATTTATGGGGTCTCCTTTCGGCCACCCATTGCCGCTCGCCTCAAATATCGAAATTCTTGGAAAGATGCGTTAAAAGAAATGGGGTTAGCAAATCCCAGACCTTGAGTGTATCATAAAATGCTGATATTCCAAATCTAACCTTGGTCGATACCACACAATCTACAGATACAGATACATCATGACCATCTTCAGCGTTTCAATCGCTTCGAGTTTACTGGCCAACACTCCTCCCCCCCCCATTAAACATTTAAGTTGGTCACTCACTCCAGAGGTGTTTGTGGGACGCTGCTGTGCGAAATTGGCTGCTGCGTTTTGCCCACAAAAATACACAGTCAATCACTTCACAATATATCCTGTGAGACGTCTCAACAACGTGATAAGCGCTATATCAAATGCAAGGATTAATAATTAATATTAATGTTTCACATTAGCCCCACAGTCTCCTTCAGACTTGCACTAACAGTGCAGCCCTTCCAGCTCAGACAACACCCCAGACTGTTCTCCAGATGCATGTCTGAGGTGTTAAATTTCTCCGCTCTTAGCCCTAAAACTATCATCTTGTGAAGCCCTGTAGCTGAATGGTTAGAGCTCTTGCCTCGCAAGCCAGAAGACCGGGGTTGGATTCACGGGCCGGGGGTGAAACGTTGGGCAAGTTTCCTTACTCCACACACCCCTATTTGCCCAACAGTGAGTAGGAACCTTGTTGTTAGTCAATTGGCGGATCACTTTTCCGGGGATAAAAAATCCCTTAAGAAAAGAAACCTAAAAATTGGTCACTCAGTCAGCGACTGTTTGTGAGACATTGCGGTTTGCAATTGGCTGCCGCGTGTCGCCCACAAAAGACACAGTCAATTCACTTTACAGTATATCCCGTGAAGCGCTTTGAGACGTCTCGAAGACGTGATAAGGGGTTGTATCAAATGCAAAGATTATTATTATTATTTGCCTTTATGTTGCTTGGTCCCGAATTTCCCCTTCGCACCCTTAAGCTAGTCGCATGATATCTTCTCACCCCCCCCACCACCCCCTCGTCCCTCCTCACCACCCCCTCTGCTCCCCTAACCTCCCCCTCTGACCCCCAGCCTTGCAGAGATGACACATTTGGCTCCCCAAGCGATTTGTTGGCACAGGCTACTGAGCTCCGCTGTGAATGTTGAGCTGCAATTTTCATCTTGTGTTTCATCTGCTACAAAGGCTACTTATATAACACAGAGCTGACATTATTTTGTGATCTGAAAAACCTGGAGCTGTGGGATGTTGTCCAGCCTTGCAGAGCAGAAAGGCAGCTTTCTATTCATAACGCAAGGGGCACCATCTAGTGGTAACTTTCCAACACAAGCTTTTTGATTCCCCCACTATTTGTACTGAGTTGTTTACACAGCGCCTTGCACATCCAACACCTTGGGACGTCCTCCCGACGTGAAGGGCGCTTATACCAGTGTAATTTTGTTGTTGTTCACCAGATGGGGCAAAATGATCAGCCGTGTCTGGGTACCTGGCAAATGTAATGATAATTCAGTCTTGTCAGCTCTATTCCAGCATTGGCGCCATCGTCCAGCCTGTACCTGTATCATTTGGCTGGCGGGAATCTTGTCTGCATAACACCGATTTTTTTATGGTTGCTTCTCATTGCTTTACAGCCCATTAGCAATGCTGATTTCATTGTTCCTGTTGAGATCGACGGGACTATTCATCAGGTAAGTCAGTTCACAATACCACTGTGCGCTAAGGATTCCATAGAAGGCGCCAGTGAGCGCCACGGACTCGCTGTTGGGTCACTTTACTTTGTGTTATATCCTGTGAAGCGCTTTGAGATATCTTGAGGAACCGATAAGGCGCTATATCAAACGCAAATATTATTTAAGCAATTACTGTGAATGCTTTTGTCTCGATGATTAGGTATAAAACTGATAGGTTCTTTTAAGTGCTTCAAGCTGCTCGCGGAAGATAGCTGGGCGATGTGGAAATCACGTGTGGACACATTGTCAAAATAATTTGGGAGGAGGACAGTAACACAGAGAGGAGAGAACCCTATAAAATGTAATAACCCATCCTTGAGATGAGACGTTAAACTGAGGTCCCGTCTAACCCTCCAGATGGATGTTAAAGACTCCTGGCACCGTTTGAGAAGAGAAGAGAAGGAAATTTCTCTCTCTCTCGTGTCAGCTTTGGCCAACAATCCGCCAGATAAGATTGGTCACTCATTTCAAGGCTGATTCTGAGGCATTGGTGGGCGCAAACTGGCTACCACCTTCGCTTAACAAAGACGCAAGTGCTTTAAAGGTCCTCCCGACCTGCGAGGACCCGGGTTCGATTCCCAGGCCAAGTTTCCCGACTCAACCTACGCAGTCAAAGAGAATAGTGAAGGTTGGAGGAACCGTGGGGCTGGTGGGAAAATGAATGGAGACCGGCGGAATTAATTCCGAAAGCTTCGAAGACGTAAATAAGCTAAGTAGATGCGAAATGTTTGGGACTGACTGCAACACGCCAGGCAGGCTGCCTTGTCTGGGGATACCGGCACCGGGAATGACACAGGATGTCCAACTGGCTGAGACCTGGTTCAAGTAATCCAGGATAGGCTGTGTATCTCCTGGTTGGCCTATTCTCGATTACTTGCACTAGGGGGTAGTCACCACACACACAAAACCAACTCACCTGCCCGAGACCGAAGAAAAACTTGTCGAGAGAGAGAGAGAGACACACGAGGGGAGAAATTATTGATCGGTGGAGCAGCAGGAGATCACCCACAAAACAAACAGGCAATTCGCTTTGCAGCGTATCCTGTGAAGCTCTTTTGTGGCGTCTCGAACAGGTGATAAGGCAGTGCATCAAGCACAAGGATTATTATTCAACCCTTCAAGCCCGCTATTCTGGTTTCTTCCCAAAGCACACCAGGCTTCAGAGTATCCAAACCAAGCCAAACCATCCCATCTACACGTGGAAAACTCCTGAGATATTTATTGGAACGGATAGCGGCTTTGGAAAGGGGGTTTTGAATGAGACCCTGTCCGGCGCCTTGGGACATCCTCCTGAGGGGAAAGGCGCTGTACAAATGTAATTTGTTTGGGGATGTTGTTCGCTCAGTCCCTCACCCGGGTGTCGTGTGCTTCCACAGGTCTACGTATTGAAAAGGCCGCATGTGGACGAGTTCCTGCAGAAGATGGGGAAGCTCTTTGAATGCGTTCTCTTCACCGCGAGTCTAGCCAAGGTAAGACAGACGCCTTTGAAAGAAGCAAGACCCTTTTCCATGTCACGCTTGCAAAGTGCTGTTCGCCGTGGGTTCTGCTGCGTTTCGCCCACAAAATACACAGTCAATTCACTTTACAGTATATGTATACACTATAACAAGCACAAGGCTAATTCACTCCTGTGAAGTCCCGTAGCTCCGTGGGTGGAGCACTTGCCTCGCAAGCTAGAGGTCCCGGGTTCGATTCCCGGGCAGGGCGAAACCTTAGGACATAAGTAGGACATTAGCAGTAAGTAGGAACCCAGTTGTTATCGATTGGCAGATTGCTTTTCTGGGGGTAATAATCCCTTCAATAAAAATAAATAAAAATTTTGGGGGTAGTAAACCCTTCATCAATAAATAAAATATAATAATAATTTAGTCACTCAATCCACAGCTATTGTTGGACGCCGCTGTGCGCAATTGGCTGCCGCATTTCGCCCACAAAATATTCTAAATATTCAACTCACTTCACAGTATGTTCTGCGAAGCGCTTTGAGACATCTCAACAACGTGATAAGGTACTATAATCAAACGCAAGGATTATTATCATCCCATTTATCATTCCGGTAAATCTCCTCCGCACCCTCTCCAAGGCCCTGCCATCCTTCCGAAAGTGTGGTGCCCAGAATTGGACACAGTACTCCAGCTGAGGCCTAATCAGTGACTTAATTATGAAGGTTTAACGTAACTTCGGCTCGCACAGCTCCTCTCTCTCCTGCCAATCCCCCCATCTCTTGCAGAATTGGACAACGACACCAGCACGGAAACAACAACTTGATTTATGTAGCGCCCCCTGACACAGGGCTGCGCCCCAGAGCACTCGAAACAGGCCATCCGGCCCATCACAACTTGTGCGCATCGGTCGACCAGTCTAATTGCATTCTCCTGCTAACCGCCACACCATATTATTTAACATTCCTCCTCTGTCGGCAACCATCTGATTCCCTTTTGAAAGCATTTACAGACCCCGCCTGTACGGTAATTTATGGCAGAGAATTCCTACCACCCTCTGCGGATGAAATGTTGGTTCGTACCTGCCCTTTAATTATTTTTCTCCTCCATTCGTGCCCTCTCATTACTTACTGCCTCCCCGACTGGTGGAAATAGCTGCACACATTATTTCCAGATGCTTTACCTTTGATCTGCAGGGTGACTGCCCCTGTTCCAGGCACTTTGGCAGCAGAGCGTGGTATGTCGATGTTGCCTCGGCTTTAGTTTTTGGCTATAAATTTAACAGAAAGTTGTGTGTTCGAGCCTCGTGCTCGCACTCAGATGGCAGCAGCGCAGCACTGAGACAACAACAACAAATTGCATTTACACCGCACCCACCTCTCACGTCAGGAGGACGTCCCAAGGCGCGGGACAGTCGGGGATTTGGACAAGAGCAGGGGTTTGGGATCAGGAGGGGTGGTGGCCAGGAGGAAAGGAGGGTGACCGAAAGCTCGGTCGAAGAGGAGGGTCTTGAGTCGGGCCTCGAAGGAAGCAAGAGAGGTGACATTGCTTCAGCTTTTCTAGGGGTAACAATCCAAAAAGACGAAAATAATAATAATTTGGTCATTTCAGTCCACGACTGTTTGTGGGGACGCTGCTGTGCGCAATCGGCTGCCACGTTTCGCCCACAAATATACGGTCAATTCATTTTACAGTATATTCTGTGAAGCGCTTTGAGACGTCTCGAACATGCGATAAGGGGCTGACTTATTAATAATCAAATGCAAAGATTATTATTTAAAATGAAATTTGGTGAGTGGAAAATTGTGCCTTCTTGGTTGTCAAGCGCCACACAAACGAAAGTTGTTGTTGAGTCTGACAAACGCCTGGATATGATTTAAGCATCGCTTCAGCTCTGGGTTCTGCTCCCCGTTCGCAAATCCCTCAAGCTTTGCTGTCCCCATTCTTGCCGTAAGTCGAGAAACATTCGATCAAGAAACGTTCATTTCATTGGCCAACCAAAAAAGGTTAGCCGCCACTGGCAACAAACGGGAAATATTGAATCAAGAGAAAGTGGGAGCAGTTTAATCAAGCGGTAGCTCTCTCGCCTCTTGAGTCAGAAGGGTGTGGGTTCGAGCCCCGGGTGGGGACTTGGAATCACGTTGTCGAAGGCTCGGGGCCTACGTGTAGTGTCGCCCTGGTTTGCTCGTCGGACAGTGAAGTTGAAAATGGCTTGCGGGCCGGATGTGGCCCGCGGGCCGCCACTTGGACCACCTTAGTCTACCACAGAAATCCTGGGCTCAACTAGGGGGTTGCCCTGTACTTTGAAATGCGTTAATCTTTACCTTTTGTCTTTCTTCCTCCCCCCCCCCGGCCTCCCCTCTTAAAAGTACGCTGACCCTGTGGCTGACCTGCTGGATCGCTGGGGCGTGTTCAGAGCGAGGCTCTTCAGAGAATCGTGCGTTTTCCACAGAGGGAACTACGTCAAGGATCTCAGTCGCTTAGGAAGGGACTTGAGCACAGTTATCATTGTAGACAATTCCCCCGCGTCCTACATCTTCCACCCTGAAAATGCAGTGAGTATTTGCCTCAAATGGCCACAAATTATTGTGCTTGATGTTTTCTTTAACTCCCCCATCTCTCTCGCTATCCCTCCACCTCCTCCCTCACTCTATCCCTCATCTGCTTTAAAATCCTACGTTAACACTTACCTTTGGGCCACCTTCCCATTTGAGACATCTCAGTGACGCGATAAGGCGTCCTGTAGCTCAGTGGTTAGAGGGCTCGACCCTCGAGCGAGAGACCTGGGTTCGATTCTCGGCAGGGTAAAACCATGGGCAAGTCTCTTTACTCCAAACGCCTGAAATATAATCCCTCGAAAAAAAATATAGTAATAAATTGATCGCTCAATCCACGTGTTTGCGGGGACGCTGCTGTGCGCAATTGTCTGCCTCGTTTCGCTCACAAAATATATGATCAATTCACTTTGCAGTGTATCCTGCGAAGCGCTTTGAGACGTCTCGAAGATGTGATAAGGCGCCGGGTCAAATGCCAGGATTATTAGTAGTAGTAGTATTATTTTAAACGCTCTGCTTCTAAGATGACGTCGAGATCCATGTGCACAGATGGCTTACGCATCGCGCTCTCCCTCTTTGAAACGCAGGTGCCTGTGCAATCCTGGTTCGACGACATGTCAGACACCGAGTTGCAGGATCTGATCCCGTTCTTTGAAGGACTGAGTAAAGAAGACGATGTTTACAGTATGCTGCAACATCTCCGCAACAGGTAGCGCTTGTGCTCCAGGTGTATCGCCATGGCAGAAGTATTTCTTACGGCTGATATCCCCCTCCCCACCAACAACACCACACCGCCAAACCCCCCGCAGAGAATTTTTTTTTTTTACACAAAAAAAAAGCCTCCTTCGGTTTTTTTTCCTGCCTAGTGCACCTGTTCGGTCAGAACTGAACTGCAGCTTAAGGAAAGGAGTCGAAAGCATTTTTGAATGCGAAGCAATTCAGCAACTGCGAGGAGGAGGAGGGGGAGGAGGAGGAGGAGGAGGAGGCGAGGATTTTTCCCATTACTTCCCATTCCCGCCATCCTCACGACGGACACCGGGATGGGCCTTTCTCAAGCTTATCCAGCCTGGCATCGCAACATCTTTTTCTAACAAGAATTCTTACGAAACATACACGTGTGTGTGTGTGTGTATGTGTGTGTACATACCTATATACACACACAAACACAGGCACGTAAACACACTCAAACTCGCACACGCACACACACAATATCTGATAAGGACTGTGGTTTTAATAGTTGTCTTTCCTTCTCTCTAGCTACCAAAAACAAGTATTTGGGCAGTTCTGTGATATCTTAAAAAAAATGTTTTTATTTTCTTCCTTGTTTCAGTCATTGCTGTGCAGACCAGCTTGTTGATCTCTCAGTGTTTGACCTGATTCTGTGATCTCTTTTACAGAATGAAGTGCCTTTTGTAACAAACAATAATTTTAGGAGGGAGGGCGGGCGGGGGGGTGGGGGGAGGGATGTGTGGGGGGGAGTGGGGTGGGGGGGGGAGATGGGAGGGTTGAAACAACAAAGCAGCTTTTTTTTATATACAGCATATTCCAGAGATCTTTATCTTTCAATGACTGTATGTTTTGAAAAAAGAAAACAAAATAATTCATCTTTATGAGCACTGTTATTTATGCTAAATGGGTCAGAAAGGTTATTCTGGCTTCGAGCCTCCAGTGTCATTTAATGTGTCTTTTTTTTTTACATCAATTGGCTTTGGGAATACCGAATGGGCACCCAGTACATTCTTTTTGTAGTTTTATTTTGAATCTGGGGACGATTTAGAATTGCTTATGTTACAACAAGCCATGACTGAATGACTTGATAAGGAACAGATTAAGAAATTGAGGTTAATCCAAGTGCCATCAGATGTATAGCATATTTGTTTCCCTCTCTGGCGTTCTCCTCTGGTGCTTTTTATAGCTCTTTTCCCTATTAATCTTAAACAAGAGTGTTTGTCGGTCGGGTTAAAGCAACGGGAGTTTATCAGCGCGCAGCGATTCCGAGGTTAACCTCGGCGAGGTTCCTTCAGTCGCTCTCTCTCTTCCCCCGGCCATCTGAGTTAACGTAAGTCACTTTCTTGCCTCTCTCCCTCTTTGAGTCGTGGCGTTCTGACCGTTAATGCAGCGCATGCGAGTGATCTGGGGGGCAGAGGAAGGAGGAGGTGAGGTTTGCTTGGGTTTTGGTACAGTGTTTCCGTATTGAAATGCAGGTTTTACAGCACAGAAAGGAGGAGGCCATTCGGGGGTGGGTATAGGATGTGGGACGAGAGGACTGAAGGCGTGTTAAATATTGGTTCAACTGCGATTTTTCTACACACATCAAAACCGGTGTTGAATTTTACCCACTTCTACTGCGACGGAAATGGTGTGGGGGGGGGGGGGGTGGGATGGGGGAGACGAGACGAGAGAGAGAGAAATGGTCAGATCATATTTTTATTATAGTGCCATCCATCTGGAAATTTAACATCAACTCAACAAGAAAAAACTTTTGTCTCGCGCACATCTTACATCGCGAGTGACTTCTCTGGGCTGTTCTGGGGGCCGAGTGCTATTAGTTTGGACCAGTCGGCCTCGATCTCACACCGCAAATGGCCAAACGTCGGTCATCTGTCACGTCATCGCCTCTTTAGTCAATCCTGTTTCAGTCAGCTGACGTCCTTTCATTTCACGTCCTTTCATTACCTCGGCTAACGCTGGGTAAATTCACTCCACGGCTGTTTGTGTGGGACAATGTGTACAAATTAGCCCACACCGTGGCCCACAAGTTACCGTCTTGTACCCCTCACAGTAAAGTCCAGTGAAGGCTTTGCCGGTCGAAAGAAAGATCGGCAGTTGTTGTTACGCTCTCCCCAAACCACCCTTTCCAAAAACCTGCCCCTGGGGGACCTTTTGCGGATGGATTGCTGGCCACCAGGGAGGGAGGGCTTCAGTGCCTGTGTGTGTGTGTGTGTGGCTGTGTGTGTGTGTGCAGTGTGTGTATCAACAGCCAATCTTCCTGACCACAAAGTCGGTTGACGAAAGTGCCTCCCCTCTTGGTGCACGATAGCCGTGAACCGCTTCTAGACCATTGCCCGATCTCCGCGTCTCCAAGCAGATTTCCTCTGTCGGCACCAAATAGGCCTCGGAGATGGAATTGGATGGACGAACTGCGCTCGTGTTTGTAGTCAATGTTAGCGAGCTCGCCAGAGACAGCCTCCCGGGCTACTGGTATCAACGCACCCTGTTTGTTTGGGGGTTTTTTTGCTGTAGGAATGTTTCACTAAGGAACAGGAAATTCCTGAAGGCAGCGCCTACTTTCTGTGGTTGAGTTTGTTGTCATAGCAGTGAATTGCAGTGGGCGGAGGTGGTATGGGGGGTGGAGTTTGGCTTGGCAAACGTGAGGCAAAGGGCAGGGCTGTGCGGAGAAGATATTGTTAAGAATGTCGAGAGAACAGTCCTTTTGGAGAGAAGGTCAACATCGAACCTGGATGGGGACGATACCAATGATTGCCTCGCGCACTCTCTCTCTCTCTCTCTCGGGCCCAATACGACACGTAGAGACCCTCGACCGGGTTGGTGACTGGGTGGGATCCAAAGGTACGAAAGCTGCACTGAATGTGCCACACGAGCATTCGCGCTGAGGAGTATTTATTCCAACAGCACAGAGGGACCATTGCGTTTCCCCAGACAGTGGCTGGACCTGACCTGAGAGTGTCTGACACTGACACTGGGTGAACAAATTGTTTTGAGCCTGAGGCGATAGCCAAAGCTTTCGTTATCCATATCAGGACTCTGGCTTTATTTCGGCCTCTTTTTCGGGCCGGTGCATGTACGTGCTTGTAGCCATGTCAACATTTCGTTGTTTCCAACCATCTTCTGTTCCCACGGATCTGTTTAGCAGAAGCCAATCCATTGCAGTCTTTCTTCACAGCCGTGACTGCCTTCTTACTTTGTTCGAGACAGCTGCCTAAACTGCTGATCATCTTGAGCGGGTCCTTGTTTCTTTGTTAGCCAACAGTTTACATGAGCATAATCCTCCAAACTGCCCGAGATTGAAGGCCAATAGGAAAGAATTGAAATTATTTTCCCCGGACTTAAATAATCCCGTGATGTAGGGAGTTAACACATTTTATCATCGGAATTAAAACCTGTGGCGTAAGCTGGTCAGGGAGAATGGAGCAGTTAGAATCATAGAATATTACAGCACAGAAGGGAGGCCATTCGGCCCATCGTGCCTCTTTGGAAGAGTTACCTGATAGTCCCGCTCCCCTGCTCTCTTTCCCCACATCCTTGTAATTTTTTCCTCTGCAAGTCCCTATCCAAATCCCTTTTGAAAGTTGTTATTGAATCTGTTTCCACCGGCCTTTCAAGCCGTGCGTTTCAGACCTTAACAACTCTCTGGGCAAACAATTATCTCCTCGCCTGTCTGTCGGATGATGTTGATCAGAGCCATTTGCAGAGTTAATGCCCAGTCACTTCACCCCTAGGAAAGGGCAGGAAGCTAACACAGCTGAGGAGGTGGGGGGTGGTTTCTAGGGAAACGTTAATGGAGCTTCTATAATTGCCCTCTAGTTCCCGAGTCTTCCGATCACTGCACGAGAGGTTGGAGGACCCTTCGGTCCATTTGATCTCATCCTTCCAAGAATACTCCATCCTGCTGTCTTCCCAACACAGCACTCACTGAGCTGTTCCTCAGAGAAACCGGCAACATCCCACAGTCAGGCCTTCCCCCAACACACAGCAAACAGCTAACAGAGGGGGTGTGGGGTGGTGGGGGGTCTGGGGGTGGGTGCTGGGGGCTGGAAGTGGTTTACAGATCGTACTGATCAGTAGCCTTGTCAGTGCAAGAGCAAATCGATGCTCTAAATCCAGAAGTCGCTGGGATCAGGCAGCAGGTGAGGCAGCATCTATGGAGAGAGGAAAATGAGTGGACATTTCCAGTCGATGACCTTGCGTCGATGCTGTTGATCAGAGGCGTTTTCTCCATTAATTTATTCCGGGTGTAACTAACCCGCCAACGTGGAACAGTGTGAGTTGATCACACGTCCCTGGTTGGGAGTGGAGCTTGGCAATAGACAGAGAGAGAGAGAGATTATCTCTTAACAAGGGAGGGAATAGGTGGCTTTTGGGGAATAATTGCGGTTGAAGCCGGGCAGAGGCAGCTCAGCGTCTCGGTGTTTTGTAAGGTTAATTAAACTGGTGACCCTGAGGTGAAGCATGAACTGGCACAAATTTCCTTTTAGATCGTGAAACCGTAATAAAAGATTAGTAAAGCAACGCGTATCAAAGTCGCTAAGTTTCGTCAAATCAAACTAAAGCTTACAATGGGTTCGTAAAGTTCACCGCAATGATCGGGTCGGTATAGTGGCTTTCATGTCACTTTCCAGAAGTAAAACAAGTCCACGAGTCTTTGGGATGTCTCTTTAGTCAATCCGAGCAATCCAGAGTTGTCCTCCAGTGGGACAAACTAACAGCATCAGCCCCTCATCACCATCAGGATCTTCACCACTCCCTTTCACCTCAGCCACTACATTCATCTTTTCGATTCATTTTAGCGTTCGGTTTAAGAATCGTAGAAATGTTCATGTTTCACATCGGATTTCTAGATCCAACAATGACAGCAACAGCAAATCATCATTAATAATATTATGATTTCAATTTAATTAAATGCTAGCAAGGTTTTACGTACATAAATCGTACTACCACAACAATTTAAAGTATGACTTCAGTGGGAGTTCCCTTTTTTATTATGATGTACACACACACCTTTTCTTTCAACATATCATTCTAAAATTCCCAATGAATGCATCTGTACTTGATCTGTATACACATCGTT